AAATAACATTGAAAATTTATTAACGTTTAAACCTAACAAATGAAAATTTAAATTATGTTTATTGTTTACGAACAAGGGGATCACTTATAAGTCGAATTAACTTTCAGGGTTGGAAGCACTGGTAATAATACTGGTCAAAATACTCTTTTCAGTTTAGGAAAGTATGTTTAGGGCGCTAATACGTCGCTTCAAAAAGCTATTATTTTATCTTTTAGAGTAAGATTTGAATTCCATTAGGTACTTTTAACATTTTTGGCGCGTTAATTAATTTCTAAATGAACTGTATTCATATATTCCCAACGTGTGTAGATAAAAAAAAATTATACGCAGAATTGATTAGATCGAGTTTTAAATGTACCATAACTTTTTTTTTATAAAATAAGAGTGATAAACGAGCACGCAGTTCACCAAATGGTAACTAAATACTGTGGCCCATAGACATTTACATCTATCCTCGATTAAGAACCAAAATCCAGATGCGTTGTCTGAAAATTAAGATGCATTCCGCATAGGTTCCAGTAAAAAGGCGCTCTGGTTCTCTACCCTCACCATCTATTTCACGCTATAATTGTTTTGTGAGAGCGTGGTCCCTCCCGAAGTCGAGAGTCGAGCCATTTGTACAACACAACAACCATATCCATATCATACGTTTAAGAATTTATTTTAAACGCAATAAACATTGACAATGATATAATGTTGCTATGAAGGACAGTGTTTGTAAATTAGTACCCACAACATGACACTAACGTATTATTTAACCTCCATGTGACTTGTTAAATGTACATCGTAAACTTTATTACCTTTACAGCTTTATTGTTATTGTATAAAGTAATTAACATTACTCTTCTAACCGCCTGATATCATCCTTTCCATACATCCTAACATACCATGTTCATACACTACCCAATTTTTATTTACACGAATATAATAATGTACGACATAATCATAAATTTGTACATAATTTTGTACAAGGGCTCTTAACATTGAAAAATCTCTCCTACTCCCTCAATAATTTATCTTTCACCACAAACATTAAGGCGTGTATATACGAAGAGCGTTATTTTAGTTCAATGGGCAATGTGATAGGAATAAGTGACGAAACTCAGACGGGAGATGTCCTTGTATTGTTCGGAGTGGTGTTTCCCCTCGTCGCATCGAGGGTTAGACAAGAGTGCGCGCCCCGAGGAAACCTATTGTTTTGGAAGGTATGCACAAGGCCGAAAAATCGAAATCAGTAATTCATAGAGTCGAGTTTCGAGTTATTTTCTATTTTACAAACCTAAGACTAAATATGTTTTTATGTGCATCTAAATTTCAAAACCTACCCTTTCAATAGTTTTTATATTAACTATCCGATATTGATTCTTACAAATAGATAACAATTATTGGAAATCGATTTAAAATGTCTACAAACCTTAGGTTCTAATGTGCAGATAATCTCTAATATTTCGATGTAACAAGTAGTATTATCAGTGAGAGGGTATCTTCTGTGCGATCACCAACCGCATAGTCCAAAGCCAACCGTGGTAAAACATTCCTCATAATGCATGCACATTCTCGAGAACTACTATGTATATGTATGTCCAGTTGTGGATTAGAGAGGACTGTTGATGTGATATGTAATAAAAATATACGAAAAGAATGTTATTATGTGTAATAATGGTAATTAATTCTTCAAAACAAAAGTAGTACTTAATACACCATGTTTAAATAAACACCGTAACTGAGTGCTTCCGCGTAAAACCGCTATTCGTATATTTCAATGTCTAGATAACCTGCGACCCAGAATGGCGTGACCCGAAAAACATGACGTAATGAACTTTATAAACAATCTTTTATTTTCTTTTAATATGTATGACACAATTAATTGTTCACTTTGTATAATTTATTAAAGTAAACGTTTAATTGAATGGACTGTGTCAGGTGTTTGTGACATGACGACGGATTATCTCTAAAATATATTAACCGTTTAATCGAATTACAAACGAACGGGACGTAGGAAATTGGTGGGACAAATGGGCCGTGTCAATCCACAATTGAACTTTTTAGATTTAATTTACTCCAATAGTATTAACGATGAGTTATTGTTGGTCTCGGAATAGCTATATACATTAGACGATTTTAACTGACGAACTGAAAAGATTTTATAATATATTATGAGCAAAAGCATTAATGTTTAATTCATTTTGTTTTTATTCACATGACATTTCTGAGTGAAGTTTAGTAGATATGTTTTGCAACAACTTTACAACTTTCGCAAGTTGTTCCTTTAATATTTCTAACAAATGATTGAAGTATAGCAGAATATTTGTTTTTGTTCAAATAAATAAGATTGTTGTTTGTCTCCTATTGGCTAGCGATACTAAAAAGTAATGTGCACCAAGACAAATGTATGTGCACTGGTATTTGAGGAATTTGGAATTATGTCTATATAAAATATACGTACTTTTTGCGTAACCTTTTCTTTTTTTTATATCAGTTAGTTTGTTATTTTTGTATTATCAAAATAGAGTAAATAAAGACGTATTATATAATCATTTTTAGTGTGAGTCATACAACACGGATGTATGAATTTCCCGTAAACAATCCACTGAGGTCCAAGTCCAACCTGTCCTGTGCTGGCGGAATGTGTCACGCTTAGTGCCAGTTTTTCGCATCTTACATTACACCGTACAACTCATCATCGGTCTGCATATTTTGTTATTTATCACATAACGAATGAATTTTTTTGATTTACCCTAAAATCAGTTTTACGAAACTCACGGCATATTTGGTGATGGGTTCTTTTACGTTACCACCACCTTATTATATAGTTATTGTTCTAGTTTTATAACACTTGACAAGTTTTAGAATGTACAGGGCAAACCGCTTCCATAGTAAAACGAGGAACGTCAGTTAGGATTATTGAAAGCTTAGGCACCCTAAACTTCATTGAGCAAGGTCTTACACCGGCTGTATATTACTGTACTGGTCGTATGTACGAGCCTTGGAATTATTAAGTATAAATTAAATTTAAAACCTGTTCCTGCCTGTCTGTATCTATAGTATTATCGCTCTTGCCTTGTCAAACATTTCGTGTTCACGTACTATTTATTAGTTTTGTATTAAAATATACTGAAGTATCTAATGCATTATATCATCAATATAATATATAAATATTATAAATTTAGTTTTGCCTATATCCATCACATTTACTCGTATTTTTTAATACAATAAGGGTAACAAACGAGCACACAGTCCACCTGATGTTGAGTGAATTCAGTGGCCCAAAAGTAAATGTAAAAGTAACTGTCATGATTAATTGAATAATGATTGTTTTTTTTTTATAAAGGATAGGGTGACGAACGAGCCCACAGTCCACCTGATGGTAAGTGGTAGCTGTGACCCATAGACATTTACATCTATCCTAAATAAAGAATGTGAGGACTAAGATGGAATGCCTCTTTACCAGTAAAAAGGGTCTCCGGTTCTCTACACTCACCATAAGAAACACAGCAATGTTAAGCTACTATTTTACGCTGGTATTTGGTATTCTGTGAGAGCGAGGTCCTTCCCCGGTCGAGCCAACCCATTCGTGCTAGAACTATAATACTAATATAGCTGCAGCATGGCTCTACCACGTATAAGATGTGCCTATGAGTGTATCAATTGCTCCGGGTACCGTCGAGAGATCGAGACCATATATATATATATATACACATAACATATCTATTGTTTTGTGTTAATAAACAAGTATATCGGTTATTTAGTACAAATTATTATATAAAAGTAAAACTAAAGTTACTGCCTTTACACGTCCACGGCTGGGCACAAGCCTCATCTCATTTCTAGGAGGGTTATGGAGTAATGGGTCCACTGCTCTATTCCAATTCGTATTGACGGACTTCATGTGTCTTCGAAATATTTTTATTCCTCAGACATGAAGGTTTTTTCATGACGTATTGTTCTAACTTCGATAACTTGAAAAGCCAGCACTTGGAATGCAATTAAAATTTCATTGCAGCCGGCGGGTATCGAACCCGATGCTGCGTTGGGTCTAATTAAAGTGTCTTATTCAATTATTAATAAAGTAATTTATAACGTACTTTAGTATAATAGGACACCGTTTTGAAAACGTTTCGATTACGACTGATACTTACTTCAACAGAAAAAGCCCATGTCCAGTGGTTTAAATGTTACAGTCTGATAGTGAAGAAGACTTTCACTCGTTTTTAACCCCCAACGCAAAAAGAGGGGTGTTATAAGTTTTACCGCTATGTGTGTCTGTCTGTCTGTGGCATCGTAGCTCTTAAACGGGGAAACGAATTGGGTGCGGTTTTTTTTTATTTAAAATCAGGTTTTCTAGAAGTGGTTCTTAGACTTGCTTAATCAAAATCGGTTCAGCCGTTTGAGGGTCATCAGCTGTTTTGTATATAGTATAACCGACGATATTCAAATCGACTTTATATTTACACAAATTTATACCCTTTGTACAAGGTGTAAATAAATGTAAAAGCATGTCAAGTTGAAAGACTTCAATTTGCTATGTAACCAAAGCTGAAGGCCAAATAAGCTTCAATAACTTCATAAAGGAAATCGAATTTAAGGGCGATCTCGACGCATCTGCGTGATCTGTAACCTCATTATTTATGTACTAGAGAAGAGGTATATTTTCTTCACGCTGTGATGGTATTATTGATATGAAAAAAAATTTATAAAGAGGTAATTTCACAATCTTATATGTATCTAATAATACGAAATCCCCTATATACTCGAAAAGATAGAGTAGCGGAGTTAACGTAAAATTTATGGCAAGAGGGCGATGAAGATAAAACACGAAATGCAGAATATTTCGAAGGCAACAATACTGAATATATGTATACAATTCTATTAAGTTTATATACAGTACAAATCCAGGCTTGTGTTATCGTATTACTAAGAAATCCATCTTTAAAGTTATAACACACATCAAAGTTTTTCACGCCTTTGTAACAAATATAAATTTGACGTTTTAATTACAGGTTCAAAGCATGAAGAAGATACGAAGTTACACTAGTGGATGGTGGATGGTGTTATTGATAACTACGCTTGCTGCTCCGGTGCAGTCTGACGCCGGTGTCAGTATCTACAATGCAAAGTTGAAACAGATAGTTACCTCTAGTACACTCAAATGGACAACCTTGAAGAATGAAGCCATGGAAAATTACGTTATTGGTGCTGAATCTTCGCAAGGTAACTTCATAATTTAAACAATAAAGGATATAATCGGTATACATATATGCATTAAAACTAATACACTACTTTGTTTCAGGGCCAATTTACCTTTGTCGGTCACGACACGAGGGCGATATGCTCTTGGGTCAGTTACGACCCGATTACAAATCCTGTGCAGTTGCCGGAACTAAAAGCTACGAAATGTTTGAAGTACTCGAAAATATTGAAAACGCATCGCTTATTATATGGAAGCCATGGCTTAAATATCATTCTAAACCTAGTGGAGCAGTAACAATCGACTCTTCCCTTGACTCAGTTTTCATTGGTCGGATGAAAGCAGATAGTACATTTTCGCACTACATTGGAAGAATTAACTATGAAAGTACTATCGGTCATTTAATCACCTTTGATGACCAGAACAATGAACTCGTGGAGAACAGTGGTGAAATACTGATCGAAGTTGAACCTGTAAGTTATAAAGTTGAAAACGTTCACATGGACCAGGAGACTGAACACATACGTCAAACTGATCCCCAAGTATTTGAAGAGCGGATTTTAAGAAATGATGATGAAACGGCAGCTACGGTTACGACAGAAATAGAGTACAAATATAATTATAGCTTGTCCTGGGGCCACGGGCACGGAATTGCTATTGGTTTAAATACAACCATAGTGTTGGAAGACGGAACTGTATTTCCACAAATCGAATGGGCTAACCCACACACGGAGGAGAGGAAAGAGCTTTATAAATTAGAGAAATACCTTGAGCCTGGAACGGCATGTAATGTTACTTTTAGAGGTAATTACACAAATAAGGATATTCAATATAATGGAAAAATAATAACTTTCTATAAAGATCATGAGTCTCGATCACGACCAATGAAAGGAGAAAGAATAGAGAATACCGTAGAAGTGGAAGCGATATATGGTGAAATATACTACGTTGCCAATAATACACTAGTGCCAACCACCACAACAACTACAACGACCACTACTACGACTACAACCACACCGCCACCACAGACTGCTCCTCCAGCACCAGAAGAAAATGATATAGCCAGTCCTATGAAGAAACCTGATCCTGCAGACATGGATACTAACGATATGTTAGGTGATAGTAGTGAAGGAATAATGAAGGCAGCTAAAGAGGACAATATAAGTCGTTCGGTAGTTGGCGGCCTGGGCAGTAAACCAAACACGGCAACTCCAACACGAATGATTACAGTGTCTTTATTTATCCCAGTATTTGCGCTTATACTTTAAACGTCATGAACGCGAGGATTGCAGTATTTGTTGTACATAGTTAAAGAAAAGATCATTGAAATAGTTGCTTTGAAGTTTATATTGTAGTATTTGTCAACTAAGCTTCATGCTGTTGTTTTATTGTATAAGATAAGGAATTATGTATATTTTACCCTTATTTGGTAGGTGTGTATATAGTTTTTCTAGACATTCCTGTTAAATAACTTCATTCCAGTGTGTAAATTATTGACCCAAGATTAAACAGATGAATGTAAATAAATTTTGTATATAGTTAAGATTGCGGAAGTCGCAGAGCGACGGGATGACATCTGAACGTCACATAATGTGTAAAAGTTGGTGGACAAACGAATGGCAAAGATTACGTCACTGTTACCACTACTACATATATTAAACATACAAAATAACGAAAATAGTTTTAATTTTATCACATATATCAAGAATATCCATGTGATATGAAAAAATACTTTATATTATAAATGTTAAAAATGATAAAAATGTTCAGCAATTTAACTGTCGCAACGTATTGTGCAGCATTCAACAAAACAATTTCCAATACGACCTTTGGCATGCACCTTTTCTATTGTGTCACCTGTGATGTTAATACCTGAAATACCTTCTGAATCTTAATTCTAGTAAACAGATTTTGCGCTATACACAACCGACTTACCAAGTATATCTCTCTAGTACCTCCAGTTAGTAGTTGTGTACTTTTTAATCGTTATTTTTAGTTTTAAGTTACAAAGAGTTTAAATCCAGAATTGAAAGATATTATTATTTTAAAGCTTTTAGGGTTAATGAATATTTATTTTGTTTTTATCTAGTGTTTCTTTAGGTTAAGTTTACAAAATGTACGGACACTGACTCGTATTAAATAAAAATCATAAATTGTCAAACTTTGTTGATTTTGCCAAAGTTAAAGTTATACTTCTAACCAATTTAATGTATATCCCTCCGCAAAAGTTATCACTAATTAATAAGAACCGTTTCATCTAAAAATATCCTGACTGGTGTATGGTAAAAAAAATTATAATAATGCTTAGCGATGTTCAGTCAATGTGTAAAAATAAATGATATTTTTGTATGGGCATACAATGTAAGTTTTTGCTTTACAAATAAGCTGTAGCCATGTAACAAATTCTTGTCGATCATCAGTTTAGTTATTCGCTTAAAAAGTATTTTCAGTATTTTGTCACAAACTAGGGCTTAGTGTTTCCATTGTAATTTTAAATTAAAAAAGAAGTCGCTTAATGTATCTTATTATGAAAGATAAATCCCACCTAGAAATATATTTATTATATAAGATTTAGGTTTTACAACAATGTGCAAAATAATATTAAAATCAAATTTATCTTCTGTTACTATATCTACAGTCATAAAATCACAATAGATTAGAACCGTCAGAGACCAACTTTTTCCAAAGTCAATTTTTGCCTGCGTAATATTATGTAAAATTGACAAATATTTATTCATAAATTTATTCAAAAATATGTTTAAATAACTATTTGTATAGATAGTATATTAATCCAAAATGCAACTGCGGCCTCCACTTTTGATGTAAGGTTTATTATTGCTTGTCTTTCCTGATAGATATTGAATCTATCTATCTGCCATAATGTTAAGGCATTTGTTGTTGTATATCAAATTTAACTTTATAAAATAATGTGAAAATATAAAACTCTTTGACATCAACATTGTTTTGCGAAGCATAATTGTGATGTTCCCATGTAAGTTTGTTTTAATTCATTAAAGCGTAATTGAAACAAAATTTGTTTTATTCCAAGCTTTTAACTTTAATAAATGCTATCTAATTGCATGAAGAAAATAAGAAAGTGTGTATGAGAGATATACTTTTTTCTAAATACCACACACACTTAAACACGCGCACCTTTCTCATTATGGAACAATGTCCAGCTAACAGATAATGCTGATCCCAAATCCAACACACTGTTGATGGGAAGCAACATTACCAGAGAGAAGCTTTGTGCTCACCAACCCGTCTTCTCAGTGTCATGAGTATGGCCAAATCTTACAACATTTCATAGCTTGAAAGGCCTGCCAAAGTGAAAGATTTGTGAAATATTTAAATAAACACTTTCTGCTTTTACTTCCCGAGTTATAAGGTGGATCTGGATGTTTCCTCTTGTACAATTTATGCATGTTAATTGCCTCGGTGATGGAGGAGGAAATCCTACTATGGCGGTAACGTTTTAAAAAAAAGTTATACACAACGTAACCTGAAGAATAGGAGCAGAGGAAAGCGATCATTATATCATTTTGTAAACCAAGGCGACAAAACAAATTTTACCGACGACGCAGATCTACTTTAGATATTTTTCCACTTTTATTAATGAAGTGTTTCATCTTTAAATTTATATGGGAGCGAATTGGCGGTGTAAGAATATCCACTACCCCATCTCGTCCCGTGGGTGACGTAAGAGGCGACAGACAGAAACAAATCAGGATATGGCCAGCAGCGTCTCCCTAATAAGAATTAATAACGTGCGGTTGCCAACCCGCCCACCAACCCGCCTGCCAAGCATGGCATGTATGGCAAATTTCCCCCTATGAGGTAATCTATGGGGAGGTCTATGTTCACTTTTGCGTGTGGTCTTTTGATAGAATATATATATATATATATATATATATATATATAATAGAAAATACTGATAGCCCCAAAAGAAGTATAACTTCAAAAACCAAATGGAGCGGTGGAAAATTAGAAAAATAATGCAGGGAATCAGCAATGAGTCGATAAGTTGTAAGACCGAATCTTTTTTCCAATTTATGGCTTGTACTTGACTTATTAAACAGCGTCAAAAGTTTCCTTCAATAATTCTCAACTATGAGCCAGGCCCTAATTGATGATAATAAATATACATAACATGATTGGTGATGCGGTAACATTTGATAAACAGATATAAGTAATTTATAAAAATATAGTAAGAAATATCCAATATTTCTTTTAAGTTTCAATTATCCTTTTGCAGTGAAATTTCATTTCAAACCTTTTTAACTACAAGATTTAAAGTTGCTTTTACAATGGTAGCTGTCACTGAAAGCTGCTTATCTTTTAAGGCCAATTTATATACAAAACAAGCGGTCGTAAAAGCAAGAATATGGCTATAAAATAAAACTTTTGCAAGCATCGTCTGTATTTTTCTGCGACCCTTTTGGTGAAATATTGTGCTGATATAATTGGCAAAGCATAAAAGTAGAAGGTGTAGTTACATCCTATATACCATATTCGTCCCAATACTGGGCACGAATGATTTGTATCGAATATCGAATGATGAATGATTTGTAATTGAGTTTGTAGTTGAGTTGTTTGTAGTTTGTAGATTAAGTTGCAAAAAATTAAAGCTCAAATTCTGATTACTTTAATGCAATATACTCGTATATATATATAAGAGATTTCCACCTATGTACTGACTCATCACGATATCTCTGGAACCATAAGGCCTAGAGAGACATGAAATGGTAGGAATATAGGCTATATTTTATCAGAAAAACTTGGAGATCATTTAAATATTTTTTTTTTTAAATAGATTGTCTTTAATTATCTTTCACGACTAAACAACGCCACCGACCACAGATAGATCTTACCCAGGCAAAGCCGGGGCGGGTCGTAAATAAACGGAACATTTAATTACTTGTTTTTTTTTTTGTTTCATGCCAAAATTAGCAAAACGACGGGAGCACTCGGTGTCTGTCAGGCGATTTGCTTTAAATCAATTTGGCGTAACCGGAAAATTACAAAACCATTGAAAACAATGTTGAATTTTAATTTTGAAGTAAACTGATTTCATTGGTTGTGCAGTATTGCACCTTTTTTAAGTTTTATGTTATTATATAAAATTTTGTGCTTATAATTTTCTTTAGTTATTGTAATTCTTTAAATACATATAATTCTTTAAATATTGAAAACATCAAAGCGCTTATAATTCTACAGTCCTACATTTAACTACCTTTAATAATGGGGAAACACATAATTCAACAACATTATAATAAAAGGTACATTTTTACTATTAAGATAAATCGAATGAATCGCTACCAGTATGGTTTTCGGTTCTTATCATTTACCATACGAAACATAGCAACATTATGTTGCTTTTAGTACTGATTGAGTACTGACAATATATACATTTGTATACTATCGACAAAGCGCCGCCTGAAGAGCTTATGAAAGCGTGTGGTAAACCATAATGTCTTTAAGCAGGTATTTAATTGCGTCCTTGACCGTGTTGCTAAGCCGGAGACGTGGAACAGGAGTGTGGTGGTTTTATTATACAAGAAAGGTGATAAAACCTTATTGAACAGTTACAGACCAATTTCTCTACTGAGCCGCGTCTACGCGCTGTTTTCGAGAGTTACTACGAATCGTCTCGCACGCAGACTTGACGACTTCCGGTCTCAAGAACAAACCGGTTTTCATACATTCTTTAGTAGGTTATACGGAAGATTTAAGTGTATATTTTGTCTTTATGTCTGGTGTATGTGGATTATGATACTAAGTCGAAATTTAAGCGGTGCCGCATACAGTCCCTATAGCAGTGCCAAGTTGACAGTTACTCGTATATCGAGGTGCTGGAGTGCTTGTGCTCAAGTGAGTAACGTTACGATGTATATCCAAGTACAGACCAAGACCACGAAATGTATTCAATTGCAGATAGGTGAAAGATATAACGTCACTATATTAGATAGGTAGGTAGGTACCTACCTACTCATGACTATTTCCATGTACTTTAAATAGGGTAGGACTACTGAGAATTATCTTCCACAGTGATCTTACAAGTAAGACCTACTATTTAGTGAGAGTACTGGGACTATTGGGAAGAAAATAAATTTATATGGTAACACTACTGTGAAGAGGATAACCCACAAAATGTCCGATTTGGTAAATCCAACTATTGGCAAGATACCTCTTGGTAGAAAGACCTTTTGCTAGTTAGTTAGAAAGGGCTATGCTCGGAATTTCTATGCAGGATAAAGACTGGTAAAAGGATATCAGCAGAAGAACAGGAGTTACTGACATATTTTAGTGGATCACAGTAAGCTAAAGTGACAATGGGCCGGCCACTAAGAACCGGCAACCGATAGGGAAGAAAGGTTTCTCAAGTGGCAGCCTCGCACCAGTTTTCCGTTCCAGTAAAAAGGGTCTTCGGTTCTCTACACTCAACATACGAAACACAGCAGTGTTAAGCTGCTATTTTACGCTGGTATTCTGTGAGAGCGTGGTCCTTCCCCGATCGAGCCGACCCATTCGTGCTGCATTTATACTACTAGCTGCAGCATGGCTCTACCACATATAAATGTGATTCGATTAATATTCCATGGATGAAGGTAGCTCAGGACCGTGTTTCGTCTGCATTTATGATGGGCTGTAGTGAGCCATAAACAGACCACTGGTGGGCGTTTTCCCACACTAAGTTAATTTCAAGATCCATCAGATATCACCTTTAATGATGTTCCTGACAATATATTTTATTACATGAAAAGATTTATAAGTACACAAATACATAACAGAGGCGACGAGTCCATATCCCCATCCTAAACATCCTCAAGGCGGCATTTTCATAAAAATAGAAACGGGGTAAGTTCTGACATTTCACACTACGTTGGAGGTACGAAACATTATAGCTTAAAGTGCAACGAAAATAAAAGAATTCGTTATACAGTCCCTCAGTAATTTATGTATCTTATTACGTCATATATACATATTATTGTAAAGAGAATAAAATTACAATACACTTAACGTTTTCACGCCTATAAGGAGTCATTTGACCAGCTGTTGGACCACAACAGATAGACGTTTATAAGTTGTAACATTACTTTTCTACATTCTTTGTGTACAAATTTTATAACAAAGATAATTTATCGTTGTATGCCTAAAAGCCAAAACGTTATATAATCTGGAATATGTTCGACTTTTAATTTATAGCCATTTCGTAGCTGTTTCATAAAACTACGTTTTAGTTGTGGCTCATTAACTTATAATGTATCTCACATTATCTTAACTGTGTTTCTTGCATCAACGTATCTTTGCAGCTTCGCGGCATATTAGTCCGTAATGTGTAGGTACTGTCATATTAACTAGTAGAACATAATTGAAACAATCTGCACAGCAGAAGCTACTTTTCGCTTTTTCTAATAAGCATAAATTTTTCTGTTAAAACATTTTCAAAGCTTGGAGCAAAATGGGTACACACCTCGTAATTTAATATAATATATACCCCATATCATACCTTGGATGTAGTAAGAGACAACAAAGGTAAATGAAACAAGACATGGGCAGCAGTATCTTCCTGATAAAGACTCAAAACAATATAAAACTGCGGTTGCTAACTCCTCGCTGGTAAATATCTCCCCCCCCCCCCCATGAGGCAATCTTTAGGGAAAGTCTATATTCAACAGTGGTCTTTTGATAGGATGTAATGAATCAATCAATGAATGTATATTAATACCCTTATTTAAAAAATGCTATAGTTACAATTATTTGCAATGACATTAAAAATTTCACTCGCGTACTTAGTACTCGTATTTGGAGAAAAAGAGATATCACTACTTTCTTACAGTAAACGTAAAATATTTAAAACGACGTTATTATGTATTCGCAGTACAACGCCGCTGCAAGACAACGAACCCGGATGACCCCACGTGGAGCTTTCGTCCGCTTTGTCTGTCACAATTTTAGAGATCATCTATGATAGAACAACTGTAAAATATGCAATTTTACATTACGGCGAGCTTAGTCATACAA